CCCTGAGCTGGGCCATTAGCTTCATCTCATTCAACCACAGTACAAAATAAGTGAACCAGGAAAGTTTTCTGTGCAACCACCTTCTCCTGCCACCCACTCTCACATTCAGTTCTGGAAGTTTCTGTGTGTAGGTGAACTAGGACGTTCGACTGTTTGAGCTAGTTTATTCGTTTATATTCTTCCCTCATTTCCCTCCTCTTGGCTGCATTAGTCATGCTATTTGCTGCATTATGTTGGGTTATTGCATCTCTCCTCTGATGGCACACTGCCAGACTCCTCATTTACTTCTCCTTTGCACCGGACCATTAGCCATCTCAAGAATGAGCACCTGGGTCATCTCCTCTCACAGCAGCAGATCCATTGCCGTCACTCTGCAGCTCTGAGAGTCTGTGCAGCTCAGACTCCCTCTTCTCGGGCCTTTTGTGAATACTCATTATTAATGAAAATGCTGAGCCGGGACCGTGCTGACCGTGCCACGGTCCTGAGGTGGGACTGCCAGCCAAGCTTCAGCACTATGAAAACACTAATAAGTAGGCAACCCTCTACCACTTCATTAATTTATTTAAACAAGTCATTTCCAGATACTGTGTAAAAAACTGGTAAATCACCAATAATTTTGGCAAAATCTTTTTCCTTTATAAATTCATAGTTTTGTTGTATAGACAAAACAGATATGTGAGTATATATTTATAGCAAGAGGCACAGCTTTACAAATATTCAAACAAAATATTTCCTTAGAAGAAGGTATGTCCTACTTACCTATTGTTACCTCTATCACATGGATGGGTGAGCATGTGATTTTTATTGCCCCTATTTTTGTTTATTTGTATTTTTTAGAAAATTTCCCCTAACACATGCAATAAAATGCAGTGGACAGTCTTGTTTGGATACTGGTCCAAGCAAGCCAACTATAAAAAATATTCATAAGGAAAATCAAGAAACTTAAATTCTGGATATTTAATGATACTAAAACAGTATTATTCTTGAGAGGTTTGTTTAAAATGCTACAATAATATTGGAAAGATAATTTTTATCTTTTGGAGAAATGCACTGACATATGTATAGATGAAATGAAATAATGTCCATGGCTTCATTATGTGTAAGAAGTGGCTAGGAATGTTTTAATTTTTTATTTAAATAAATCTTTTTCGTGTATTTTTTTCATATCAACCAGTTTCCCTTCCCTCCCCTCCTCTGGTCCTCTCCCTTTCCCTGTCTACCTCCCTCCCCATCTGCTCCTCCATTTCCACTCAGAAAGGGACAGGCCTCCCATGGGCTTGCAGTGGCTAGGAATTTAAATATCAAGAAGTTGTGGGTTTATAATTATTGAAGCTGGACAATGGATTCATGGTGTTCATTTCCATATATTGTTTACTTTTATATTGGACATCTTCTGCTATAAAATACGTAATAACGGTCAATAAAGCAATCACTTATTAATAATAATTAATATCATACTTTTTCCATAATAAGTAGACATATCTTCTAATTGTCCTACCTATTGCTATGCTGTTTGTTTGCTTTTTGAGACAAGGTTTCATGTAGTCCAGGCTGGCCTTGAACTTGTAGTGTAATAAAGCTAGCTTTGAACTCCTGATCTTACTACCCCCATCTCCTGAGTGGTGGGATTAGAGGTGTGTGCCACCAGATGAGGTGCTTCAAGACTCTCTGCCCAAAAGGCATCTTCTCACATGACAGTTTATCTCCTTATGTGCTGAAAAACATGCAGGTCACAGCAACAAACTCACTGTGTGTTGTACTACTCTTACCACCTGTCCCTGTGATCATCTGGTTCAGGGGTATGCTCTTATAAATTCAACATAGTTTAAAATATTTAATGTTTATATGTCTTTGCATATAAGAATAAAAATTTTTTAATATTAAAAAATTATTAAATTTTTCTTCCAAACCCCGTGTCTTATTCATTTTCTATTGCTGTGAAGAGACAATATGACCACAGCACCTCTTATATAAGAAAACATTTGACTGGAGCTGGCTTACAATTGAGAGGTTTAGTCCATTATCATCATGGTGGGAAGCACGTGGTATGCAGGCAGACATGGTGCTGGAGAGGTAACTGAGCATTCTACATCTGGATCAGGAGGCAGCAGGAAGAGAGAATGAGCCATTAGACCTGGCTTGAGCTTCTGAAACCTCAAAGCCCACCCCCTCCAATGACACACTTCCTCCAGCAAGGCCACACCTACTCTAGCAAGGCCACACCTCTTAATAGTGCCCCTCCCTATGGACCTTGAGGGGCCATTTTTATTCGAACCACCACACCTTGCCTGGTCATCAATTCTATTATTTGGACTCCATTTGAACTCTATACATACAATGGAGACGAGTAACATTGTATGCTCTATGACTATTTGCTCACTTATACTTGACTAATAACATCATGTTGTACATGAAGCCTGTCTACTCTATAGTTGTTTTGTTGTTGGTTTCACTACAGTTTATTTTTGATTTAGGGGTTGTTTGTTCATTTGTTTCCCTTTTTTCTCATTACTAGGCAAGAGAGCATCAGTGACCAATGTTATCTTATCTTTTTATACAAACAGCTCTCTTAAGACCTGGTACGTTCACTCCTACATTACAAGATAACAATATATATCTGTTAACTTAAATAAATAAATTAAGTTATGATTACACCATTTTCAGATCTATGCTTTTCCAGAGTGGTCACGTATAATAAAACTAAAGAAAGTAATAAACTAATTCTTGTTCTATAATTCCTTCCTGCTCCATAATTCAGCCGATCTGAAATATCACTTGATCCAAGGCTAAGTGTCCATCTAACACAATAACAAATGGAATAGATACATCAGCTAGAAAAACTGTCATTTAATTTTAAGAAATAAGAATCTAAAGAAATTACTTTTCGTGCATCTGTGATTTTAAAATATGACCTAATTTTTTAATATATAAAAAAATTTAATTATTATATGGGTGTCTATGTGGAAGTATGTGTTGTGCAAATTCTAATTGGTCTTAATAATAAAAACCTGGAGTCAGATATCAGGGTAAATGCTGAAAGATCAGAGAAATAAAGGATTCAGTCATTAGAGAGACCTTTCACCTCTACTGAATCCTACCGAATCCTCAGACTGAATGGCATCTCTACAAAACCTTAGACTGCATTGAACTCCTGTCTCCTTCTGCCTTATATTCACCTCTCTGCCTAGCCATATCACTCCTGTCTCCACCTTCCTAATGCTGGGCTTAAAGGCATGGAATCCCAAGTGCTGGGATCCTTTGTGTGAGCCCTGTTTCTCTTATAGACTGGATCAATTTCACATAGCCCAGGATAGCCTTGAACTAACAGATCTGTCTGCCTCTACCTCCCAAGTCCTGGTATTAAAGGTGTATACCACCACTGCCTGGCCTCTGATGGCTTAACTCTGCACTCTGATCTTCAGGCAAGCTTTATCTGTTAAAACACAAACAAAATATCACTACAAGTATGTGAAAATGAGTAGCCGCAGAGGCCAGAAGAGGGTGTCAGATCCTCTGGAGCTGTAGTTACAGGTGGTTGTGAGCTGCACTTATATGAGTGCTGGGTCCTCTGCAAGAGCAGCCTATACTCTTAGCCACTGAGCCATCTCTCTGGCCCCTGCAGCTTACTAGGACAATAACACTGTTCTATTCACCATTAAGAAAGAGCTGTTTGGTTTGAAGTAACTGCTGGATTTGGAAGTATTCTATAACCTCAAATTTTATGTGTCAGTTTTTTAAAAAGACTCACATAGAAACAAACAAAAAGACTTTTAGATTCTTAACTTAAATACTTGCATGACCATTAAACTCAAAACTTCCAGAAAGAGGGAAATTGGTTTGTCAGTGGGTTTGTTTTTGTTTGTTTGTTTGCTTGGGGTTTTTAATTAAGTAACTTGGTCCTTGAAAGGGAGGATGCAGAAATCAAAGGCCTGATTGTGCTGGATCCCTCTTTGTGGTCATTATTCAGCCCGGTTCCCAGCAGGCTGCAGTTGAAAGGAAAAGATCCAAGTTCTGCTTAAAAATCAGACTAAAGAGCTGGCTCAGCACCCTGCTCACATTATGCTGTCTGCATTCACCGCTTTGGTCTTGGGATAGTAAGCTGTAGGCAATGACCTCGAGTTTCTGGGATAGTTATAGGAAGCACTCCTCTGACTTGATTATGAGGGGAGGAATGTTTTTTCACGGTTTTTGCTTTTCTAGGAGGACTCCCAGAACATCAAGATCCTCAGGTATAAATGGAACTCCAGGAACAATGTCACAAAAGTGAACTATTTTTTCCCACTTCGTTGGGAAAAGGAGAACAAAACTGAGTATTTTTGCTCATCTCCCTGACTACTGAGGACTCTCATTCCTAGAGGGACAACGATTTTTTTTTCTTCTCTGTCTCACCATCTACGAGAGTGATGCGCAATCTATTTGGGAAAAAATATTCGTACAATTTCCCAACCAAAAGACTCCTGGGGAGCTGAGATGCAAAAACATCAAGAGAATGTCAACACTGATCACTAAAAGCAGGGCTTTCTACGATTTAATAGAATCATATTTTTTAGTATAATTCTATAGGTGTAATAGAATTGTACCTTTTGAGTATAGCAGGAAGCGATTTTGGAGCAGATACTGCAGAAGAATCACAAGTCAAAATTAGACAAGATTATCCTTTTCTCCTTTACAGGATCACAGGTAGAGAGGGCATGTAGTCCTTGAGGTACAACACCCATGCCTAGCGTCCTGCAATCCTACTTGACTTGGACATAGGAATATACCCAGGACTGCGGCATGGAAAATACGCTAGCCTGCCTGTCGCCCCTCCCCCTCTCCGTTCCCGCGGGATTGGAGTAGCTCTGGGTCGCTGACGCCATCCTCATGCCCCTGGTTTGCTTGGAGCATGCGCCTCCTCCTCACTTCCTCTCCAGGAGCTAGTGGAGTAAAGCTACGCCCAGGCCGGCGCCTGCTCGCGCAGGAACTTCAGCACCCGCGGAGCGGACAGCGCCCGCAGCACCTGCTCACCTGCGCTAGGCCCGCTGGAGCATCATCTCCAGGCCAGCACAACTGCAGGCCTCCCAGCTCCTCTCTCTCCCCGCGTTCCGGCTCCTGTCCCTGCCAGCTTCTTACTCCCCTTCTCATTCATAACAAAAGCTACAGCTCAGGGGCCCAGCGCCAAGCTGTTTCCAGCAGAGAGCAGAGGGAGCAAGGAAGAATGGGGTTCCTTTGGACCGGCTCTTGGATACTGGTGTTGGTGCTCAATAGCGGCCCAATACAAGCTTTCCCCAAACCTGAAGGCAGTCAAGGTAAGTGGACATTTCTCTACTTCTGAGCTCTCTTTCATTTGGCCCAGCAAAGGCAAAGCTTGGTGTGACCTATGAGCTCTAAATCGCCTTGCCTAGTTATTCTAATCAGATCTTATCTCTGCATAATGACAGAATCGTTTTGACTTTAGAAAACGAAGGTGAATTTTTCTCCTTCACTTTTTAGATAACAGGGCAATAACATGAGCTGCTTATAAGCATCTTATTTTGGAAAAGGGAGCAAGTGCCTGTTCTTAAAGGGGCTTGGATTTTTTTCTAAGATAATCTATTCATTACTCAAGCAGGAATCTGTGATCTCTTTTAATGTGCCAGCAATGATCATCAAAATTTATATTTCTAATTGAAGACTTAATAAGTCAAGAATTAGAACCATATGTTAAATTTCTGATCGGAAAACAAAAGTGTGATTACATTTAACTCAGGGATGCAGTGATATATTAAGTTTACCAACACTGATACTCATCATGAACACAAGTGATTATCTTTGATAATATAAATTTGATTTCATAACCACCCAGCATTATTTCTTTAAAAGATTTTTCACTGCTTTCATTTTAATGAAAAACATATTTTATCATCCAAATGCACAATTAAATTATATTTTTATGTATTTATTCTAGACAAATCTCTGCATAATAGAGAACTAAGTGCAGAAAGACCTTTGAATGAACAGGTGGGTTGGATGTAAAATTGTAACTGCTATGTCATTTTATTCTCATGATTATTTATTGTAATTACATTGTGATATCTTAGCCATTTTGAATTTACAAACTCTGGGACATTAATAATAAATTGACAAAAATTAAGGTGAGGAATCTAGTTTCGATAATTGTATGTTCTCATAGTTATGTCCATTGAGTGCTATGTCCATTGAGTTATGTCCATAGAGAGTGCTAGAGTGCCCACATGATGATAGCCCAGCAAGATCAATACTGCATCCACTCTTAGAAGATGGCTTAACTTACTGACATCTGTGTGTGTGTGGTTTGTTTTGTTGTTTTGTTTGAGACAGAGTCTTGTTGGGTAGCCTACAACCCTTGATCTTCCCGCCTCATCCTCTTGATTGCTGGGATTATAGGCACATGCCACACTGCTTGGTTGAAGATTTATTTTTAGTCAATATTACAGGAGAAAGAAATTCGTACTTAAAGTGCACCAGTCCTTTGTTTATCTCATTTAATCCTCATAGCATTGCTTTTTACAAACAAAACTAAATCTTCTGGAGATGAAATCATTGGACTTGCATACTTGGTAAGCTGTGAAACATTGCTTTAAGATGCGCTCTGTCTCCTGTTTGTTTCACAGATTGCTGAGGCGGAGGCAGACAAGATTAAAAAGACAAACCCTCCAGGTAAAAGGAAATCGTACTGCTGTTCAGTTAAATAACATAGGTCATGGGATTCTAAACTAAAATCGATGTGTTGGGCTTGGAACTTTTCTTCCAGAAAGCAAGCCAAGTGAAAGAAATTATTCTTCTGTCGATAACTTGAACCTGCTAAGGGCGATAACAGAAAAGGAAAAACTGGAGAAAGAAAAGCAGTCTATAAGAAGCCCCCCATTTGGTAACACACTGGATGTGGAAGATGTTGATTCAACTAAAAATCGAAAACTGATTGATGAGTATGATTCTACAAAGAGTGGACTGGACCATAAATTTCAAGGTAAATGATTTAAAGGATGCTTTGCTATCTTTTTTCTCATTTTGAGTTTTTCATTATATACTAAAAAAAAAAGGCCACATACTTATAAAGGTCGCAAAATATATCTAATATGCTCATGACCTGTGTCATATGTTGGGTCCAAAGCTGAGGTAAAACCAAAACTTACTGATAATATACCAAAAAACAGTCTAGAGTCTCTACTTTTCCCTTTAATGTTTCCTTTACTCTGACAGGCATGGTGGGTCATGCCTGTCGTCACAAGTCCATTCTGGGCTACATAAAGTACCAAGTCAACCAGACTCCATTTCAAAAGAGCAATAACAGTGACCATAGTGACTGGATTCCTTACCGATGCTTTGAAATTTTTTAAAACCTGATATCTGTATTTACATTAGAAAATTCATTTTATTATTTCTATTTATTTTAATAACGACTACAAATAAAACATTATTTCTTCAAACAACTAGATCAATAAAACATGCCTTCCCAGTAATGAAATGTCCACTATTTTCTTGTTGGTAGTTTCCACCTCTTGCCTTTGCTCATCTAGCCAGTCTACATTTAAACTCAGACTTCTCTGGACTATAGACCTATTTCCTCTCTACCTAGCATCTTCCCTTGGAAGTGTCAGGCCCACAGAAAACCAAATGTATACCAGAGTCAACTCATGACCTCTTCCTCCTCACAGATCCTCTTCAAAAGATCTTTCCTCTTCTTTGCTGCTATTTATCCTTTTTTTTTCTTCATTACAGAAATCTAAAATTGAAATAATTCTCTTTTTTTTTTACCTCTTCAATCCTAATCTTCCAAAACTGGTTCATTTTATTCCCAAGTTAGTTCCCATGTTTTTACCAACAGAAAAGCTACTGTTCTCAGTCACCACTGTCCTTACCCAATACCCAATCGTGTCTCATTTGAACTACAACAAAATATTTTACAGATCTCCCAGCAACCACTACAGTTTTTTTCAGCCTATTCATGATGTGACAACTGGAGTGGACTTTTAATTTACAAATATAATATATGGAAATGTGTGCATGTCATTCCTTGTAGGGAGTGCTTAATATCAAACTTGGGGGCTCATGCATGCTAGGCAGTTAATCACGCTACCACCAAGCTATAACCACAGCTCCTCAGATTTTTTTTTGACAGTATTTCCTATATAGTCTAAGCTGGTCTTAAACTCATAATCCTCCTGCCTCAGTTTTCTGACTTCTGAGATTGCAAACATGTGTGCCACGATGGTCAGAATGCCATTAGGTTTTAGTTTTATTTTGTTTTGTTGTTTGAGTGTTTGTTTTTAGCCAAGACCTTGTACGTAGCTCAGGCTAGCCTAGATCATGAGGGTCCTGTGCTTCTGTCTGGATGCCGGGATTATATGGGATGAGCAGAGCATGCTTCTTTATTTCCCATAAATCTCTTTTAGTAGATTCTCATTTCTCTTAGGACCAAAACCAAAATCCTTCATAAAGTTTCTGTCTTCATAGTTACTGTCAAACACATGTGGGCTTGTCCAGCATACATGATCTGATAGACATTTTGCTCCTTGCCGTCATTGCAATTTTGCTCCTTGCCGTCATTGCTCGTCTTGTAGTTTGAACCTTTATATTTGTAACTGTAACCACTTACGATTGCCTTTATCCAAAACTACACTGAAACACTCACAAGAACAGAGACATTATAGGGCAGTGCCTGAATAGTCCTTAATTCATTGTATGATTCTATAAATAAGCAAAGAAATGAAAGAACGTGTGAGGGAATCAGTGAACCTCTGTAAATGGAGTATTTTCAATTCTGCAGACCAGTGCTTAGAAGTGAGCATGGGCTTTCTTCTCTGTCTTTGTTTTTGTTTCATGGCAATGAGGAGACTTTTAAAGTGCATTATATGTGTTGAGTAGATGGAGGCAATGATTTATGCTCTGCTATTTGGAGAATTTAAATCTTGAATTCTACTTTTTAACCTAAGGTATGTTGACCAGAAGCAAATCGACACTAGGCATAATTGCGTAAAAGAAATTAATTTAATCACTCTGGTTAAACAGAACATTTGGTTTAATAAAGTAAAAAAAGAATGTAGTATTTGTCTGACTTGATTAGCCACACTGGTTATAGGAACCAGCAGAGACACAGATTTGTTTGTGACTTGAGAGTCTACTTTTTAATTAGTCATTTTACTGCCAGTTTGTAGGTTTAAAGCGATAGGGCTGGTCCTCATGTTTTTTGGCTTATGCCCAGATTTGCTTTAACTTTACTTGAGATCCTACGGAGACTAAGTCAAGGGTCTTAGAGAGAATGTTTTGTGGGTGAAGGTCTAGTTTCCTTTCAGAGCCTGCAAATCCTAGAGTCAGTGGGTCTGAACCCGCCTAGGCATCCGAACAGAGCATCAGAGATGTCCAGGCTCCGCCCCAGAGGTAGAGTGAGGGAGAGGGTCTTTGGCAGGCTATGTCCTCGGACCCAAGACTGCCTTTAGAAAAGCTCCAAATTCAAAATCCTTGCCTGTTTCTCCCTTATGTGCTTATGCTTGAGGTGCCTTTGAGTGTTCAGTAGCCGGAATTTATGGGGGAATTCTCACATTGCAGGTTATGATCTAGATAATAAGCTCTGTGCATCCAGGGACCATGCTAAACACAACCATCACTCTACCAGTGTCTGGCAGATATTAAGACTTGAATTCAATTAAACTGAAGAAACGAATTCCAAGTGTTAAATGAGATACTAGGTACAACCAGCACTCTAACTCTGGTGTCTGGAACATAGTAAGACTTCAATTTTACTGGAGAAATAAATTCTAGGTATTAAATGAGATACAAGGAATACAAGACATAGCAGGGCCACAGTCCTTTGATGTCTGTATAGAGCATTGTAGCTGCCTAAAGGTTAAAATTTGAATCTATGCCGGCTTCTTTCTGAGGCTTCACACGGGAAGCATAAAACACTCCTTTGAGCACAGCTGGGAAATCACCTTAAGGTATTCTTCTCATTTTCAAAGAGCGTGGGGGAAACTGATGGAAGGTAAGGGCAGTGGCCAAGTACTTCGCTTTTAACTGCAGCTCTCAAAGTTCCACCGTGGGAGACCTGAGTTCCTGGCTCAAGAGCCCGCAGCGGCGCAGCAGAGGAGGAAGACATTTCTTCTGAGTTTCCAGCATTCTCCCCATTGGGAAGTAAATGAGCTGAAAAACAGTCATCTGGGTTTTTTTCCAGCGTCAGCAGGCAGCCAACATTCTTTCCTTCTCAGCTCCTAAGGGAGAAGTGGGGAGGGAAGTGAATTCTTCCTCCTCTGCATAGACGGAAGACTAGTCCCCAGCGCCTGACTTGCAACCCACAAATGGAAAATTCAGACCGAAGTGATAGAGAGGCTGTGCTCCTGAGAAACAGATGAAGAACTCCACTTCCAACCAGACATGAAGGGAACTAATTTTACGATTTTTGTCACTCTGGCACTTGGGTCTCAAAGGGCTTGTGGCTGAACAAGAACACGGTCTTTGCGTATAACCACCACTCATCTTCATAAAGCCTGCATCCAAAAGCAGGAGAGGGTGTCTGCCTGAAGCTGCAGTGCCACCATCCCCACGGTCTAGAAGAAAGGCCATGCCATGGGAGAAATTCCCTGGCCAGATCCCCAAGGGTCTTGGAAGAAAAGGGCAGAATTGGGATGGAAATATGTTGTTCTTTCATTGAGGGAAAGTGATAAGGATTATAGTCATAGAGCTGGGTGTTATGATACATGCATTTAATCTCAGTACTCTGGAGGCAGAAGCAAGAAGATCTCTGAGAGTTCAAAGCCAGGCTACATAATGATACTCTGTCACAAAAAATAAAGCATTATTCATAACATATCTGGCAAGGAATTCTATTTCCATTTTCTCCAGAAAATAATCACAATTCCTTTAAAAATCTGCCAGGCAGTGGTGGCACACATCTTTAATCCCAGCACTCAGGAGGCAAAGGTGAATCTCTGTAAGTTCGAGGCCAGCCTGGTCTATAGAGTGAGTTCCAGGACAGACAGAGCTGTTACACAGAGAAACCGTGTCTTGAAAAACAAAACAAAAATATTAAAAATCTAAATCCACTAGGCATAATTGCAGTAGTACACTCTTACACACACTGCTGTATGATTCAAAATGTGCATTTATAATCTTACTTCATCTGTTCCTTATAACTCCAATCAAATTAAATAAACCCTTACTCATAATTGTTTGTTTTATTGTTTGGGCTTTACAAATGCTAGACAAGCACTCTACCACTGAGCTAAGCACAGAGACCAATGCCCTTATTATTTTGTCCAATGATCCAAGGTCTATAGCGAACAAGAGAAATCACTATGCTAAACCACTGATCTTTCCCATCTGCCTCTATATGACAGATTATTAACACTTTGTAAATCAGATCTGATCGATGTGGTATACTCAGTAAAGCGGACCTGTTCAATGTGGTATAGATACTCTGTAAAGCAGACCTGTTCAGTGTGGTATAGACTTCTGGGATTCTTGTGTGGATGGACCAAGGCTTCATTGACTTTGTCCCCTTTCTCCCTCACATTAGTTTGTTGTCATTGTCATCATCGTTGTTCTTGTTGTTTAGAGTTTGAGTTTGCTTTGTTTGAGACAAGGTCTCTCCCTGTTAGCCAAGCCTAGTCTCAAACTCATGTCAATCCTCCTGCCTCAGGCTCCCAAGCACTAGGTTTGCAGGCGTGAACCATCACACACAGCCCTTTTTTCTCACTCAGAATGATCCCTTGCCTTATTCTGAAGTTACGTTAAATGAATTCCCAGGAAAACTAAGGACATATATTCACAGGCTTCTCTGCAAAATTTGTATGATGTTCATGTATATCTCTCGCTTTAATATTTTTATTCCAGGCTCATAAAATAAGCTCCCTGTCTTTTGGAGACTGGGGTTTATTATTGTTAACTTTAAGCTTTGTTATGTAGAGGTACTCCAGCATTATTCCAGGCTCATAAAATAAGCTCCCTGTCTTTTGGAGACTGGGGTTTATTATTGTTAACTTTAAGCTTTGTTATGTAGAGGTACTCCAGCAGCCAGGCACGGCAGTCCATGCCTGTCATTTCAGCACTCAAGAGGCAGAAGCCGAGGACTGCTGGAAGTTCCAAGTCAGCCAGGGTGACATAGTAGGACACTATCTCTAAATGGATGAATGACAAATGAATAGGTGATAAATATATGTAACAAAAATCTTGAGTATTTCAGAAAGTATGGGCTATAATATGGTGCATAGAATAGGTGTGTACTCACCATGCTGTGAAGCTGTGCTTGCTCTGTCTAGATGACCCGGATGGCCTGCATCAACTGGATGGAACCCCTCTAACTGCTGAAGACATTGTCCACAAAATTGCTACCAGGATCTATGAGGAGAACGACAGAGGAGTGTTTGACAAGATTGTTTCTAAACTGCTGAATCTCGGCCTAGTAAGTGGTTTGCAGGAGAGCAAACTCGGTTCTCAGTACATTCTACAGTGTCCTGGGAAGTTGAGCCTCGTAATTCAAGAAATCAAATGTTTATGGGGCACCTACTTTGTACTAGGCTCCCAAGGACTCCCTTGGGTTTATCAGAAGGGCCAGATAAGCACACACGCCCATCACACAGACAGTTTGAGAGTTGTATAGCTGTGCAGTTTGCCAGAGAGTGGTGTGTGCCCAGTGGGAAGTAGGGAAAGGCTTCAGAGGAAGAGGTGTTTGAAATGAGCTTAGAAGGGAAGTCAGGCTATAACAAGCAGAGGCAGAGGATGTGTGTGGCAAAACCAGAAATAACATGAGCAGAGACTGGCAGTGGATGCTTGAGGAACTCTGAGCGATTGAATCCTCCCTAGTCACGACTTGGCTGCTCAGCCCTGACACAGCCCAGCAGGTTTCTCTGAGGTTCTTAGTCACAAGGATCCTGTAACTGATCATGTGACCTGCAGCTAAAGAGCAGCATCCCTCAGGTGTCTCTCTCAGGAAGCATCCCTAGGGTTTCAGCAGGTACCACTGACAGCTTGCATGAATAGCCTACTTCTTCTTGGAGTGCTGGGCAGTTACCACCACAGCCTGCATAAGAAAGGATTATCTGTTGCAAAGAGAAGTTTCCTTGATTAGGAGTGAAGACTCCACTTATCTGTGGGTATAAAGATAAACATTTGTGTTGTTGTTAGAGATTAGGCTGGCTTAGTAAAGTAGTGGTTGTAGATTCTCCTCCAATATCCATGACTTCATCAGCACTGAGGAGTTAGCTAGGCTTCCAGCACCAGCGTGGTTTCACCTTTGTTGAGCAGGTCTTAAGTCTGATTAGAGAGCTGTTGGTTACTACGAAAGTATGCATGCCTCTACTATCCCCTTAGGGAAATTGTGCCATGCTGGCGTTCATTGCTGTGGCTCTGGGAGTCATAGCTGAGTAGGACTGTTGGAAGCTTGCATGGTGCCTACATGTTCAACTGGAGTTTACATTTTATCTTAGCCAAAAGGTCAAGAAGTTATTGAACTAGAGTTCAGGTGTCTATTTGTTTAGTTATGTCCAGGAACGGAAATAGCAGCTCTATGGCTTCGTTTCTTTATAATAGATCACTGAAAGCCAGGCACACACTCTGGAAGACGAAGTAGCCGAGGCTTTACAAAAATTGATTTCCAAAGAAGCCAACAATTACGAGGAGGCCCTGGATAAACCCACAAGCAGGACCGAGAATCAGGCTGAGGCCCTGGATAAACCCACAAGCGGGACCGAGAATCAGGCTGGAAAAATATCAGAGAAAGTGGTATGTACAAGAGTGTGAGGAATGCGTTCGTGTCATGGGCATATGAGTATGTGTGCTTTATGTATCTCTGTACAATTAGTGCCTTACCTGATGCCAAAGAGTATTTGGAAAGTGTCTCATTTTTAGCACACTGGGAACATATCATATGATACAAGTATTTACAGCATCCCAAATGTGCTGGAACCAATGCTCCAAAGCATTTTTGGTATTCCATCCATTTACATAAATGTTATCATCTATTCCCAGTGCATGTGTATGAACATCCATGTACACACAGAGAGAGAAAGATGGGAGGGGTAGATAGATCAATCCTCTGCACAGCAGCCTCACACCCCCAGTCTGATCCTTCCTCTGTGTAAGGCTGCGTTCTTCCACCTGCCCCTTCCCCTTTTCATTGGTTCAGAAGCCTGTCTATCGCCTTTCATCTGGGCTTGCAGTTCATTCTTATTTCCCCTTCCTGGGCTCCTCTCTGCATTTTTCTCTTGGAATCAACAAAGTTACGGTGATCTTGGTCTCCTCACTCAGCTCTCTTTCTGGAGAAATGTAGCAATGGAGGCTGTCAGATTCCTTGCTTTGCCTTTGATTTTCCTTCTCCTGAGTACACAGACCTGAAGCTCCCCCTCCCCTTAGCACCTCCAGCATCCTCTGTGATACAAAGCAATGCTATATAGAATGCTGAACTTCTGTTGTTTGCTTTGGGGTTGGGTTTTCTTGGAAGGTGGTTATTTGCTGATTCTCACATGATATGTAAGCTGGCCTCAGCTCAGTGGCAAATACTCCTTCTGACCTTCTACGTACTAGGTTATAGGCGTGAACTATCACATGCAATACAGTTGTTTCTGTGGCTTTAGTTTTGTTTTGGTGTGTGTTTGTGTTTCTCTCATGTAGTCCAAGCTGGCCTTGAATTTTCTGTGTTCCTAAGGTTGTCTTTGAACTCTAGATCAAATCCTCCCAGGTTCCCAAATGCTTGGATTACAAATGTGTATCAACAGGCCCTGCAGAGATGCTATTTTAGAAGGGCCAGAAAATAAGATCGGTTCTGGCCTACTCCAACAAGGCCATACCTCCTAATAGTGTCACTCCCTGGTGATCAAGCATTCAAATCTATGAGCCTACGGTGTCCATTTCTATTCAAACCACCAAACTTTTCATATTCATGGAGGAACAGATCTACAGGTCTACACAAAAGCAGTTGTGACTTAACAACCCTTCACTTGTTACATTTATTCATTTCTAAAACATCCATATGCTTGGCTTGTTGTTCATGTCTTCTAAATGCACTAATGCAAACAAAGTATTCTTTCAGAGTACCATAGGGTGCTAAGAACGCCATGGTAATTTAAAAAGACACAATCTCTCCTCCCACGGAGGTCAAGTTCCAGTGGAAGACGTAGATTGTCTCCAAACAGTCATTGTAAAGGCAACCGCATCAAGAGCTTAGAGAAAGGGCACCTGTTCTTCACTTAGGCTGAGAGCAGGCTTCCCTAAGGAAGCAATTTGAGCCGAAAACTAAAAGTCAAATAGGATTAACTTGTAAACAGGAGAGGTCACGTGTGTGGAGTATCCAGGCAACTGAAACAAGGGCCTGTGACTGACAGGGAAAGGAGAGCAGTGTCAGGAGACTGCGGAGTAGCCCCAGCCCAGACCACGCAGAGCCTCAGTCTTATGTAGAGTCTGATGCCTACTGTAAAAGCCAGGGAAAAATACTAAAGGGTTTTACCTTCATCTGATTCTCATTGCTACAAAAGAATACCTGGGACTAGATAATTTACTAAAAAGAGAAACAGGAACTGGAGGGATGATGGCTCATCAGTTAAGAGTGTTAAATTCTCCTCCAGAAGACCCAGGTTCAATTCCCAACACCCACATGGTGACTCATGACTCACAACCTTCTATAACTCCAGTCATAGGGGATTCAGTGTCTGGCCTCCTCCACCTCTACCAGGCATACACCTGGTGCACAGACATACGTGCAAGCAAAACACCCACACACATAAATATAAATATGAATCTTTTCTTTAAAAATGGAAAATAAATGTATTTAGTGCACAGCTTTGGAGCTGAAAAGCCCAAGATGGAATAGTTGAGGCCCTGTGTGGCTTGCCCTGTGAGATGGGAAAGGGGAGGGACAAGCAGGTGTATGTGTAAGAGGGGCAGGGGTACCACTCACCTTTTAACAAGTCTCTCTCACACAAGTCTCTCCCACACAGTAGCTAGCCTTAACTAGCCCAGTCTTGTCAACAGTGGAGAGACACAGCCTAGCACAGCCACCAGCTGCCCAAGGAGCACCCTTTCCCCTAGAGACTCCGTTCAGGTAAAGCCAGAGCCTTGACTGCAGCTCAGAAAAGAATCACAGAACAAGCCAGAATGAAGCCAAGTTAGCAAACGCATTAACTGTTTAGACAGAAAATCATAGGGAAAAAGACAGTGCACACCTACAATATGGGTGCAAAGCTCCCTGACAGTCACATTTGTGTGTCTTTGCCAGGGCTGTGTCTATGACCCTGTGTCTTTTTAAGTCAGGGTGCAAAAAGGATGCAATTTTCATGTTTCATATTGTAAATGAACCACAAGGTGCTTTTATGGGGTGCATTATTTAGATTTAGAGATGGGAAAGGGGTACTAAATTGACAAAATTCTAGGCCTAACTAATCATTTTAACCCCCTGTTTGAGAGGTCTTTAACATGCCGGTATCTCTGTTGGCAATTTGGGCTTTCTCTGTTGAGTTTCTTGACTCTGCCAGCCAGAAAGTCAAAGCAGATCCCAGAGAGGGATTTTCTTTTTTTTTTTTTTTTTTTTAAATATTTTTTTATTTTTTTTTTTATTTTTTTTTTTTTATGTATNGTATATGCCTGCAGGCCAGAAGAGGGCACTGGACCTCATTACAGATGGTTGTGAGCCACCATGTGGTTGCTGGGAATTGAACTCAGGACCTTTGGAAGAGCAGGCAATGCTCTTAACCACTGAGCCATCTCTCCAGCCCCCAGAGAGGGATTTTCTTCCTTCCTATGTCTTCTGAATTGGCCCAATCTTCTGTCCTGCCTGGGTCCCTCACGAAAGGCCGAGTATAGTTACTTTTCTATCTCTGTGATAAAACACTGCTGTAGGCAGAAGCTGCTTGCCTGTTTCCTGGCTGCCCAGACTGTAAATAATCACACAGAAACTATATTAATACTGTTTGGCCAACCAATAGCTTAAGCATTAATAAGCATATTTCTAGCTAACTCTTACACTTAAATTAACCCATTTTATTATTTTATCTTTTACCACGATGCTCATGGTTTACTGGTAAGGCTCCAGGCATATTTCTCCTTCGGCAGCTACATGCCATCTCTTTGACTCTGCCTACTCTCTCCTCCTCTATCTGCTTGGAATCCCTACCTTACCCTAATCTACACTACAATAGGCCCAAAGTAGCTTCTTTACTAACTAAAGGTATTCGCAGCATACAGAGGGGAGTCCCACATCACTCAATGAACACAGCTACTTACAAAAAAAGAGTTTGTTTGAGCTTACAGTTCCAGAGTACTAAGAGCCCATCACATTACAATGAGGAAGCAAGGCAGCAGCAGGCACGGAGGCTGGAGCCCAAGGCGGCAGGTACAGAGGCTGAAGCCCAAGGCAGCAGCAGGCAGCCAGGGAGGCTGGAGCCCAAGGCGGCAGGCAGGGAGGGAGGCTGGAGCAGCAAGGTGAAAGTTCATATCTTAAACCATAAGCAGGAAGCAAAGAGAAAACTGGGAATGGTGTGTAGCTTTGAAACCTCAAAGCCAGCCTCCAGTGACACACTTCCTCCAACAAGGCCATAGCTCCTAAGCTTTCCCAGAAGGCACCATCACTTGGGAAACCAGGTATTCAAATCTCCAAGACTAAGGGAAACATCTCATTCAAACCAACACAAACATTAATCCATTCCTGAGGGAGGAGCCTGTATGAACTTGCTATGTCTCAAAGACCCTCAAAGGCCCTGCCTTCAACACCTTTACATTGGCAATTAAAAATTCTTTTTTTTTCTTTATTTTTATTTTATGGCATTGTGGTTTGACCTGCATGGATGTGTGTGTGTGAGGGCGTCAGATCCCCTGAAACGGGATTTACAGACAATTGTGAGCTGCCATGTGGGTGCTAGAATTGAACCCAGGTCTCTGGAAGAACAGCCAGTCATCTCTCTAGCCCCAGTAATTCAAATTTCAATGTGAATTTTGACAGGAATAGGCCATATCCAAACCATAGCATAGCAGGAGTATGTGTGTGTATGTATTTGTGTGTGTATGTATGCATGTGTACAGGTACATGTGTACATGTGGGTATGTTTACATGTAGGCACGTGTACATGTCAGCATGCATGAATGTAAAGGCCAGAGGACAACCCCGGGTGTTATTTCTCAGGCACCGTCCACCTTGTGTTTTGAAACAGAGTCTCCCACTGACCTGGAATTCACCAAGCAAAGTAAGATAGTAGCCATCAAGCCAAAGAAATCTGCCTATTTCCACCTTCCTAGCCCTGGGATTATAAGCGTGTGTCACTGGGATCAACTTTTATTTTGTTATTTTTTTAAGTAATTTATTTATTCTTATTTTGTATGCATTAGTACTTTGCCTGCATGGATGTCTGTATGAGGGTGTTGGATCCTGGAGTTACAGACAGTTGTGAGCTGCCATGTGGGTGTTAGGAATTGCACCTGGGTCCTCTGGAAGAGCAGTCAGTACTCTTAACCAATGAGCCGTCTTTCCAGTCCCATCAACTTTTATTTTTAACGTGGATTCTGTGATCAAACTGGGACACTTGTGCTCATAAAGCAAGCACTTTACCAACCCAGATTCATCTCTGGCCTCCTTGTAGTAGATCTTAAGCAAAGTCTTTAAAGATGAAATTGCTAGAAAGATACTTCGGTCCACAGGGCATAAGATACTGAACTGAGAAGACATTTGCAATGAGTGGTGTACTAGTTAGAAGGGGGGCATGAAGGACTGCGTGGACGAACATGGGTTACCGGAGAAAGAGATGTAAAAATTGCCATAAGATTTGAAAGTAAAGCCAACAAGGATACTGATAGATCAAATGTGGAGAAACAAAGGAAAAAGAAAATCTCTTAGATTTTTGTCTAGTCTACTGAATGGCAAGTGAGCTTTCACCAAAATAAGAACAAAGATCAGATCTGAGAAGCGGAAAAAAAAATATTACGTATCGTCCAGAGACAAAAAATCTCCTGGAAGTTCTAAGGTATTTGTACAGTTACTGATGGACAGTCCAAAAGCTTTCCTGGTTCACCCCACTCCACCCCTATGCATCGTGTGAATCAAAGTTCTCTCCTCACTGAAAGACTCATGGAGGGGAATGTGGCCAAAGCAGAACCATAGAAATCCCCAGTCTAGTCTCTCCTGAGACACACAAGGGAGCTCCTACCTAGAACCTGCCGGGCTTTGTGAAGGAGGAGGAACCCCGAGGCCATCTGAAAGGAGAGAACTGACCTGGAGCTGCATTCATTCTAAACCATCTTTATTTGTTATTGTCTTTTTCCCCCTCACTGAAGACTCCAGCGGCAGCCATGCACGATGGCTTTGCTAACAGAGAAAATGACGAGACCGTATCTAACACCTTGACCTTGTCAAACGGCTTGGAAAGGAGAACCAACCCCCGCAGTGAAGATAACTTTGAGGAACTCCAGTATTTCCCCAACTTCTATGCATTACTGACGAGCATCGATTCAGGTAACCACCACTTTATGACCGTGAGGAAGGGAAATGAGACAGTAATTCTTGGAAATGTGTGGGTGGTTTGCTTCCTGTTCGTGGTTTCCAAGTACAGTTCTCTATGACATACACTGTTGGCTGGGAAAAACATTTCACTTTTTTTTTTTTTTCAAAAGTGGTGTGCTAGTGTGCTAGTCATGGAAAGGGCAATCAGGAAATGTGGAGTGAGTTTCTGGATAATTTAATCTCGTTAACAGACAGTTCATTTATTTGTTCAGTAAACAGTCATGGAACATCTGCTGCGTACAGGTACCCAAATCTGTCACGTGCTGAGATGAATCACTGACCTGCCCTGACCCAGCTCAGTCTTCGCTCTTACTATAGCTGCTTTTTTGTTACCAGACTTTTTAATTTCGTTTATTTATTCATTTATTTTGTGTGTAGACATGAGTGCCACAGCTTACATATAAAGATTGGGGGACAATTTGCTGGAATCAGTTTTTTCTCTTGACTGTTGTGGATCATAGGAATGCGATTCAGATCATCAGGCCTGGCAGCAAATGCTCTGAGCACCCATGCTGTCTCTCTGGCTCTTCAGCTTTCTCTGATGCTCTGTTCCCATCTTTATTGAGGGGTACTTAATATGTATACCCCTATCATCCTAGATTCCTAGCTCTTTTGGGACTGAGGTAGAAGGATTACCGTGAGCATGGGTCCAGCCTGGTCTATATTGTGAGCTTGAGGCCAGCCTTAGCTACATAACAAGATCCTATCTTACACAGATACACACACACACAATTGTATACAATAGGCATATACCATGGTGTTTTAGTGTTCATCTTCATTGTGAAATGTTCATCATGGTGTGGCCAATGACTGTGCCTATCACCCATACATATAGTTGCTATTGTCTCTTTCTTCTTTTTTATTCTTGTTCTCGTGAGGATATGATCTAGCAGATTTCAAATATGTATCCAATGTTACCAGCCATACTTGCCAAGTTTCACAGACTCCAGACTTTTCGCACTACAGAACAGAAACTTGGTACCTTTGACCAGCATCTCCCAGGTTTACCCAGTCCTAGGCAATGACATTCTACTCTGCACTTCAACGACTTAGCTTTTTTAAATTCCACGTGCAGCTGTCTTTCTATAAGCACAGAGGTGTCGGGACCTCCTCTGGATACCAAAATCCACACATAGTCAAGTCCTTTATATAAAATTCTACAAGGCTTGAGTTTGATTACTGTAACACACACAGCCCCTTCACACACATACGCACATACAGAGGTGGAGGAGAGAAAGAGAAAGAGATGGCGGAGAGGGAGCTGGAGTAAGATATAGTATTTTCTTATAATCATTACATATCTTCCCATGGACTTTAAATCATCTCTGATTTACTTACAATGGCTCCCACAATGGAAGTGCTATACAAATGGTTGTTAAACTGTATTGCTTGGGGAACAGCGGCAAGAAAATGACCTGTCCATGCTCAGTAAAAACGCAGTCATATTTTTTCTTTAATATTTTTGATCCTCAGCTAGTTGAATCCATGGATAATGAAGCCTAGGGTTTGGAACTGAGAGAATGCCGTCTCTGTCTCTGTCTCTGGATTGTTTTACCTAGTGTGTTTTCTAGGCACGGTGTCAAAAAACAAAACATCAAGAGAAAATCCTGCCAGTTGTATTAAATCTTGTGCAAAGCTTTCATTTTCCTCTCTCAGTGGGAGCCTTCTTTGCTCTCCTCTGAATTATTCAAGACATTGCTTACTAGACATTTTCTGCTTTGGTTTTCCAGTGAGTCCACATGAGCGTGGGATGAAAGAAAGTCCAGAGCCCAAACACATCTGACAAATTGTTCTTTTGTAAACACATCCTCCCCAGTCTCTTCAGTCACATGTGTACAGAGCTGTCTGTAGGATTTGGCTTCTGTGTGTTTCTGGTTAATCTGCAAACGATGAGAATCTTAATCTCTTCTGTCACTGTTCAGACAGATGCCCCACATTGTCCCAACAGCTTTCCCCGTCCCTGCTGAAGTGAACAATTGGGTAAATTTTCTAGAGCTGTAATTTGGTTTCTCCATAAAGTGATCATAGAATGACCTTCCAGCCCAGGAGAATTCTCTTTGTCCTTCAGGTCCAGATATTGGCCAGATGGCACCGGCCTCTCTGCTTGAATCTGCAAGGCTGGGTCTGGAGGATCTGTCTGAGCCATCTTGCCCCATGGGTTGGCAAAATGACCAGCTCAGAATCTGTGTCATTCTAATGAGTCACTTCTACTCTGTGAAGAGCGTCAGCATAATGCTAAATATACTGGCCCACCCTTGAACAAGGGATGACCAAAGTCATTTGTCACGTCTTTTTTAGTATCTTCCTAACTCATCTCCCTAACTCAGCAACCTGTGATGGTTTGGGTATTTTTTAAACTCCACTGTGTGGAATGTTATTTATTTGTTTTATCTTTCAGGTTTGTTTGTTTGTTTTTTGTTTTAAGGTGGTGTCTCCTGCTTCCCAGGGTGACCTCAAACTATGTCCAAGGATGACCTTGAACTTCTCACCCTCTAGTTCCCAAAATGCTGAGACTAAAGGCTTGAGTCAACAAGCCTGGTTTATTCAGTGCTGGAGTTTAAGCCTTAGGCCTTATATACACTAAGCAGGCACTGTACCAATGGAACTATAATTCCTACCCCAGAAGTGAATTCTTTTCTGTCTATTTTATTACTCTAATATTTCAGATGAAATTAAAGTCCCATGGGAAAGATAACATGCGTTCATTTCTAAAAAGCCGTTTTTATAGCTATAAGCTGCCCTACATTTCCAATTGTGTCTTAGTTTTTGTTGTTTTTTAAGTTAAATGTTTGTGCTATTTGTTATAAATAAAGGGGGAGATATTTCAATAATTATGCCTTACTTCATAGATTGGCAGTGAAGGATAAAACTATCATCTATTATTATTTTAATAATAATATTATTATTATTTAAATTATTTTGCTTCTCATCAGGGCCGGAGTCATGGCTCAGCAGCTAAGAGCAATAAACTCTTCCAAAAGACCCAAGTTCCATTTCCAGTACCCACACCATGGTCACACCCCTCTGTAACTCCAGTTCCAGGGGCTCTCTCACCCTCTTCTGGCCTCTGCAGGCATGCATGCCTGTGCTTCACAAATATATATGAGGGCAAACACCCATGCACCCATAAAGTAATAGAGATAAAATGATTTTAGTTAATTATTTTGTTCTTTTACCATAGAAAAAGAAGCGAAAGAGAAAGAAACCCTGATCACGATCATGAAGACGCTGATCGAGTTTGTGAAAATGATGGTCAAGTACGGCACTATATCTCCAGAAGAAGGCGTTTCCTACCTTGGTGAGCATTCTGCCTTATTTTTACCATGGCTACGTTCATTGTTCAAAGCAAACTAAGGATCTGGCAATAATCGCCTCACTGATTTGATGATTTATGCCGGAGCAGCCCAGATCTCCAGGGTAACAGAGTTGCTCGGCTTAACGATGCATGCAGATAAAATTAATTAGACATTCTGGAGTTTTCATCTTAATAATTCAGTTTGAAGAAAAACCTTCCACATTTTTTATATTAAACCTTATTAGTGCTTTAAAATAATCTCCAGGGAGCAATTTTATTACAATTTAGCCCATTAACATTTTTTTTTACTTGTGTTTAGAAGTCTGGGTTAAATCTTGATTTCCCCCTCTGAGTACTGTACATGGCAAGCAGAAAGAGTTCTGGCTGGGGAAACAGGAACCTTGCTCTGCTGTACTAAGAAGGTCCTGCTCCTTTTTTGAGGGGATGGGCGGTTGAAACAGGCTTCTCTGCAGCTTTGGTGCCTGTCCTGGAACTAGTTCTTGTAGACCAGGCTGGCCTAGAACTCACGGAAATCCACCTGTCTCTGTCTTCCAAGTGCTGGGATTAAAGGCATGCACTACCACTGCTTGGCAAGGCTTCACTTCTTCTGTCTGTTAAATGAAGGATGAAACAACTCTCAGGTCACACTCAACCACTGACAGAAGTCAGGGCAAGAACTTAAGGCAGGAACCTGGAGGCAGGAGCTGATTCAGAGGCTATGCAGGAGTGCTGCTTACTGGCTTGCTCAGTCTGCTTTCGTACAGCACCCAGGACCATTAATCCAGGGGTGAGACCGTCCACAGTGTTCCGGGCACTTCCATGTCAATCATCAGTCAAGAAAAGGCACCACAGGCCAATCTGTTGGGGGCATTTTTGCAACGGAGGTTCCCTCTTCCTAAATGGCTCTAGCTTGTGTCAAGTTGACATAAAAGTAGCCAGCACATACATGGTGTATATACAGGCAAACAGGCAAAATATTCATACAAGTACATACTTAAACCTTTTAAAAGGTTAAAATGAGTTATGTGATGCAAGTACTCAATTGTTTTGATTTTTTAAGGGCTTTTGTTTCCCTGAGTACTTTTCAACACCCATGTGCTTTGGGCAAAGAGAAACAAATAGATGTAGAAATGCCACTGTGGTCAGCATGATCCAAAATTATTCAGCATGAACCCTGGGTTTTACTACATAGAAATAGTTTTACTAGTTGTATTTTTATTATAAAAAAAAGAGAGCATATTTCTTGTTTTTTAAAAAAAAAGTCATTCAAGGCAAAAAAAGAAAAAGAAAAAAATGCAAAAGAAAGTTAAAATCACTGCTGATACTAATCCCCTCACAACATTTTGATTTACAGTCTTCTAGATGTCTTGTCTGTGTAGGTATATATGTGAGTCTACCTATTCTCTTTGTCTTAAAAAGAAATGTGTTCAGATTACAGTTGGTGTTGTCCAACCAACTCTATTCCTCTAACACCGTGATTCTCAGCCTTCCTCCTGCTGCAACCCTTTGATACAGTCCCTCCTGTTGTGGTGACCCCCCCCAACCATAAAATTATTTTGTTGTAATTTTGCTACTGTTATGAATTTTAATGTGCTTTCTGTCTCAGGCAATTCCTGTAAATGGGGTTGTTTGACCCCAAAGGGGTCATGATCCACAGGTTGAGAAACTCTACGGTTACACAATGCAATATAAATATTTGATATACAGGATATTCAATATGTGGCCCCAAATGGGTCACAACCCACAGGCATTGTTCAGGACAATGTCAAGCGTGTGACTTGGGAAGTCTGTGCTGTCATTTCTCCTGTGGAATTAGGTCAAAGACACTGCAGAGGCTTCTGTGTAAGCAGCTGTTCCCGCTGCTACCTGAAGCTAAGTGTCTACATGGTAACCACTAACCACAAGTTGCTACTTAAGTGGGAAGTCATTAAAATTAAGTGCTTACTGGCTAAGCCAGTTGGCCGGGCATGGTGGCTCGAGCCTGTAATCCCAGCATCAGGGATGATAGCGTTAGGAGGATTAAATAGGAGTTGGAAGCCAGCCTTGGCTTCAGAGAAGTCTCAGGTCAGCCTAGGGTAGAATAAGACTTTCCTTGAAAGGACATTAAAAATAAAAATGAATAAATAAAAATCTAAGACAGGAGTTGTGGCACACACCCATAATCACCACATATGGGAGTGAACGTTTAATATCATTTCTCAGGAAATTAAAGCATATTTCTTCTCTTCTTTCTAGAAAACTTGGATGAAACAATTGCTCTGCAGACCAAGAACAAGCTGGAAAAAAACAGCACTGACAGCAAAAGCAAGCTTTCCCCAGGTAGGATTTACTTACCTGGGACGGGTTTTATTTTTCCTAGCTGCTAAAAGAATAACTATTTTACTGGTAAAGAGTGAGCTTCCGTAAACGTTAATAAAGCATTATAGATCTCAAAACATTTTGAAATCTCAACTTCAAACATAGTAATAACCACATGTCACCTTGGCTACTTTGTAGCCTGTCGTGGCAGAGAATATATACCGCCAAAAGCATGGAAACGTTCTTTCATTTGGGGTCTTCTTTGTTGTTTTTTCTTGGGCTGGGAATTGAACACAGAGCCCCAGTGTGAAAGGCAAGCATTCTGCCATACAGCCACACCTCTAGTGCTGCACTAAAAAGTTATGTAGGTATGTAACAAACACTCTTTGGGGGTACTTGATTACGAAACAGTGAATCCTCTATTAAAGCCTCCATTTGTAGCCAGGCCGCGGTGGCGTACTCCTTTAATCCCAACACTAGGAGGCAGAGGCAGGCGGATTTTTGTGAGTTCGAGGCCAGCCTGGTCTACAAGAGCTAATTCCAGGACAGGCTCCAAAGCTACAGAGAAACCCTGTCTTGAAAAACAAAACAAAAAAAAAAGCCTCCATTTGTGTCTCTTTCTTAACACTTCTTGAGACCACCATCCCAGGCTATCTGTCCTTCCCCACATCTCTTCTCCATAGTCCCACCCCAGATCATCCCACCCCTCGGGGATCCTCTGTGCTCCTCCACAATATGCCCCTTTTCTGTTTCTTTTCCACCCACAACCCTGCTCTGCCCAACAAACAGCATAGAACTGAGCTGTGTGAAGAATCTTCCTCTCAAGGGGAGCGGGGGGGACAAAAAGAGAAAAGATTGCAGGCTCTAGATTCTTATGGTTTAATCATTCCCCCCCCCCCGCACAGAAATTATATACATGTTGGCGATGCTGTACCCTTTAAGATGATGCTTTCATGCAGAGTTTTTTAATTGGTTTTGTTACTAGGGCTCAAAGGCAGGCCTTCATGCTTGCTAGGCAGGAATTCTACCTCCCAGCCTCATGTTTAGCCTTCAAATGGGCTATATTTAGTGTGTGTGTGTGTGTGTGTGTGTGTGTCTGTGTCTGTGTCTGTGTCTGTGTGTGTGTCTGTGTAGAAACCAGAAGTCAACATCAAGTGGCATCCTTATTGCTTTTCATTTTATTTATTAAGACACTATCTTTAACAGAACCTGGAGCTCATAGATTTGGCTACATTAACTGGCCAGCAAGTCCAGAAATCTCCCTGTATTTGCCTCTCCAGTGCCAGGAACTCAAGAGGTCAGAGACAGCAACAGGATTGGTAGTTCAAGGCCAAACTAGGCTACATGAGATCTTGTCTCAAAAAAGAAATTAATGTTATTTGTAACAAGACCTATATAGCACATCCGGTTGACTGGTAACACTAATTAAATTAAAATAAATATGACTGAGGGTATAACTCAGTGGTAGAACACTTGCCTAGCATGCATGAAGCTCTGGATTTGATCATCAGCCAAAGTCCTCCTCAGAGAGGGAAGGAAGGAAGGAGGGAGGGAAGTCAGACAAATAACCAGCTTTGATTGTACATGCCAGCTAGTCTGAAGACTGAGGCAGGAGGATTGCTTGAGCTAGAAGTTCAAGGACAACATAGTGAAAGCCAATCTCTAATATAATAATAATAAACAAGACAAGCAATCGCTCTCTGACGACAGTGTGGCTGAAGGAAGAGTGTCCCCTGCAGAATCTGGAGTGCTAGGAGTCTGGGACCTGCTTCTTATTAACTCAGTGGGTGACCCTGAGCATCTCTTTCTTCCTGGGGCCTCAGTTTCCCCTTCTGTGAAATGATAGTAGAGGGTTGGATTAGATAACCACTGAGATCCCTTTCAGTTCAAAAACCATAACATGACCTCAAACTGTATCTTTTTAATAAAGTTTGTTCTGCATTAAGAATTAAGAAAGGTAGGAAATGGTGTCATAACCACCATGTACTACTCTCTGATCACAGTGCCATCAGAGAAGAGTCACGAAGAAACCGACAGCACCAAGGAAGAAGCCGCGAAGATGGAAAAGGAATATGGAACCCTGAAGGATTCTACGAAAGATGCTAACTCCAACCTCGGAGGAAAGACAGATGAAGCCAAAGGTACAGATCTACCAGCTCTGCATTGGCAATGAAATTGGGGAAGCAGAAGTTTTCAACACTCAAGTAGGGCGGTCCAAAATAAAGCCCCCCACAGCAAATCTGCATAGCTAAGATCTGCAAAGTGGGGTGATCCAGCATCAAGCCCACACAGTACAGTCTACAAAGTTAAGATTAGCATGTGGCACCTACGCTTGAATAGCAGTGTGCTTTAATGGTCTTCAGTCTTCTGGGATGGCAAGTTGGTTTCATTTTTCACTGGGCTGTTGTACTTAGGAAGGTATATTCATGGTTGAGGGAATATCTGCAGTCATTTATGTATTTTTGTAATGTTCAGTTTACAATCCTAATTGATTGAGCAATACTTACTGATTTCTTTAGATAAGAAAGGATTACTGAGTTTACAATTCCACATTTTAATGAGTTGGTTTGGCTTAGTGTTTTGAGACACGTTAGTCCAGACTGATCTAGAACTCTCTGTGTAATCCAGTCTGGCTTCAAATTCATGGCAACCCTCCTGCCTCGGCCTCATGTGTACTAGAATTCCAGGCATGAGCACTATTTCTTTAACTTTTTTAATAGTTCTCTAAATAATCACAATACAGCTTACTCAGCCAGGTCACTCAAGAGTCTGGGTTTAACAAAGCAAACTCTGTACTCAAGGAAGGATGCGGCCTGGAAATGTCTTTAAGAACTTGATAAAAATCCAAATTCAATGGATCAATTTGCTTTAAAAATAAATGTATCTATGGCCCAGAAAATTCACATCGTCTTAAAAGTTTTCAATCTTTCCCAGAAACCAACTTCCCTCAGGAAAAAGACTTAATGGCGCTTTATGTTCTAAATTGTTAAAACTTTTGATTGGGGCAGGATGTGGATTCTGGGTACGCTCATGGTTTAAGCCCCTTTTATTACAAGTTTCATAGTTACTCCACAGAAAAATGATATCCCTATATCTCGAGATACCTTGTGTGAAACACTGCTTCTTTATCAGAAGTTGGGCAGAAATGCTTGACCCTGCTTTACCTTTCTGTTGCTAAGAAATGTTGACCTCTTTGGTATAATTGGAGCCTGCTAGGTCATACCAGTGTCTCATTAGTAGGTTCATCTGGACATTTTATTCCTCAGGAAGAGAGGAGAGTGGAAGTGGGTCAGTTCTCTCTGCTGGGGGAGAGGAATTGGAACTCAGCTAAGTTGTCATCTGAGAACATAACATTAACTGGACTCTACTCTGGCTCTGTATAACTTCCCGTGGTAATGAGTGGGTGGAGTGGGGTGGGCTTTGCTTTCTCTTCTATGCTCTGATATATGATTACCTGGTCCCTCATGCTTATGCCATAGCTCTTTAACATTTTTTACATTTATTTATTTGTTTGTTTATTTACTCATTTATTTAGTGGGGAACACACATGCATGTGTACATACACATATTACAGCACACATGGGTGGTTAGAGGGCAGCTTGTTCTCCCCTCCTACCATGTGAGATCCAAGGATCAAACTCATAAGCTTGACAATAACTCTAACCACTGAGCCATCTCATTGGCCCTATATTTGTTAACATTTTTTTTTCAAATTTTTTAAGATAGAATCTATGTAGGCTTGGCTAGCCTGGAGCTCACTGCATAGACCAGGCTGTCCTCAGACTCATGAAGATCCACCTGCCTCAGCCTCTGCAGTGCTGAGATTGAAGGCATGTGCCACCATGCCTGGCTGTTAACTATTTTACATTGCTTTCCCATTCTTGTCAATTAATGATGATTTTATGGAAAACTTGGCATAGTATGGAAGTAGGAACCCCTTATAATTCCATCCGTTGTCCTCTTAGCACCCCATCTCCACTTTCTGCAAATAAGATATTCTAGATCCACTCCAGATTTGCTTTTCACAAGACTTGAAACCAATTCCCTCGAGGAATTCTGTTTCTTCCCTCCCTCCCTTCTTTCCTTCTCTTATTCCTTCATGTACAAAGGTCACATTCCCCAGGAGCACAGCAACCACACAGTAAGTCCTTTAACCTGTGTAGGCAGCACGCTGAGTGCTGAAGGTGGCACCCTGTGTTGCTGTGCAAGCATCCGCAGGCAGGGTGTAGCATGCCTTTTCTGTTTTTAGAGGAAACACTGAAAATGGAGCATGAATGGTGGGTGGTACCCACTGACTATGTAGAATATGAATGTGTGTTAGCCACTTTTCTCTCACGATAGCGAAACACCTGAGACTCACAACGAGAAAGGTTGGGTTTTGGCTCACAGTTTAAAAGGATCCAGTCCATCATCTTTTGGTCTTGTTGCTTTGGGCCTGTGGTGGGTGGTACATCATAGGAGGAGCCCTGACAGAGCAAAGCCACTCCCTTCAAGGGGAAGAAGAAGGTATAAGCTGGAGTCCCACCATCCCTATTGAATGTGTCTCCCACCACCACCCCTTAAAGTTCCCACAACTTTAAAATGGGGCATGAATGTGGTTGAAGGCAAGACTGACGGGTTTCTATTTCTCTCTTTTTTTCTCTTTCTTTCTTTAAATACAGGGTCTTTAACCCTAGTTGACTTGGAACTCACTATGTAGCCTAGTCTAACCTTGAATTTGTAACAGTCCTGTTGGCTCAGCCTTCTAAGTATTGGAACTAAAGACGTGAGCCACCATACCTGGCAGAGATATTCTCACCCTTCTACATAGGCAGGCAAAAGCCATGCACATGCACACACATCCCACTGGATGGTGAGCATGGTGAGCACGCATGTGGAGTACAGGCTTCCCTCAGAGAGAAAGTTGGAGGCACTGCAGAGTGGCACATAGAATAAGGTAATGGCTCGGTTAAAAGCATTTAATGAAATCATTTAAGGACACACTGGCAAGAATGTTTGCAGAGTGTCTCTTTTGGTTTTGGAGTATGAGGTGATGTTCCCATATAGTCATAGTAAATATTTCTTAACCATGCCAAGCCTTAAACATGCCAAGCAGATGCTGGACATGTGTGTGTATGTGTGTGTGTGTGTGTGTGTGTGTGTGTGTGTGTGTGTAACAACAACAGTATCCCTAGGCTTATATCACTTCACTTTACAAAACGTGTCTGCATGCATTTTGTTTCATGAAAATCCAGTCTAGGGACTGGAGAGCTGGCTCTGTAGTTAAGAGCACTTGCTGCACTTGCAGAGGACCCGAGTCTAACTCCCAGCACCCACATCAGTGGCTCAGCACCACCCATAACTACAGCACCAGAGAACCCAAGGTCTTCTTCTCACCTTAGGCATGAGCACACTTGTGGCATACCTTCACACAGACACTCATAAGAAAAAATTAAAATGTTAAATCAAATTTAATTTTTACCACAGAAATAACACATTTTATTTATTTATTCATTCATTCATTCATTTATTAATTTATTTATTTATTCATTTATTAAAGATTTCTGTCTCTTCCCCACCACTGCCTCCCATTTCCCTCCCCCTCTCCCAATCAAGTCCCCCTCCCTCGTCAGCCCAGAGAGCAATCAGGGTTCCCTGCCCTGTGGGAAGTCCAAGGACCACCCACCTCCATCCAGGTCTAGTAAGGTGAGCATCCAAACTGCCTAGGCTCCCACAAAGCCAATACGTGCAGTAGGATCAAAAACCCAGTGCCATTGTTCTTGAGTTCTCAGTAGTCCTCCTTGTCCGCTATGTTCAGCGAGACGGGTCATTCGTTTATTTTTGAGACAGGGTTTCTCTGTAGCTCTGGAGCCTATCCTGGAACTAGCTCTCTTGTAGACCAGGCTGGCCTCAAAATCACAGAGATCTGCCTACCTCTGCCTCCCGAGTGCTGGAATTAAAGGTGTGCGTCACCACCACCCGGCTACACATTTTATTTATTGATTAATGGAAAATAATTCATTTTACTTTTGAATATAAGTTAGACTATTTAAGCTATTGTTTTCTAAAGGAACTCATATTTTTATTTATTTGTATTTATTTATTTTGGCTTTTAAAGATAGGGTCTCAGATAGTCCAGACTGAACTTCAATTTACTATGTAGTTGAAGCTGGCCTCAAACTCCTGATCCTCTCATCTCTACCTCCCCAGTGCTGAGAATATAGATTTGAATCACCACACCTGACACGGCTTAAGAATATTTTTAACATGATTATTTTTGATGGGTAAAGTTATTTGTATAATTCAATAGTTATTTCTAAATTTAGGAGTATGCCAATAATGAAAACTTCATCCTAATTCTAACCATATCCAGAAACTTGTTAATTTTTCTCTAGAGACCAAGAGAATGTCGTTTAAAACACTCCATTATCTAAGAGCTGCTCCTTCTGCCAGTTGGATGTTTACTTACTCACTCTTGATGTGTGAGTCACTGAAGATATTTTTTAATTAATTAATTCATTTTTATGGGGCTCGTGGGGGGGGTGAGACTTGGTGCCCATAGAGGCCAAAAGAGGGCATCCAATACCAGGAACTGAAGTTACAGATGGTTGTGAATCACCATCTGGAGTCTAACAATGGAACCTGAGTCCTCTGGAAGAGCAGCCAGTGCTCTTAACTACTCAGAAACCTCTCCAGCCCCTTAAAAAAACTTTTGAAAACTCATCCAAGGGATGAGATAAGCATTGTAGCACCATAGGCTCATTCTAGAAACCATTTGTCATGTTTCTAAGTAGATACTGGAACTAAGCTGAAAATGGGTGGCCTCTGAGGTGACTTTCGCCCGAACAACTTCCCTTTCCCACCCCTGTTGTATAGAAAAGTCAGGCTATTTAATTCATAAACTGACAGCTCATGTGGATCCTTTCGTAAGCAACAGACAATTACATGCCTCCACTCAGGTCCCAAGTCGCTCTGTTAGACTCGTTAGAGTCTGGTCTCCTGTGAGCTGACAAGCAAGATGGGAGCTCAGGCAAACCCGGGAGACTTGCTTCAACCTACGTTTCTGAAGGACATCAAAGGAAGTGTCTCCTCCTATGTAGAACCATAAATTGCCTCTCCAGAATCCACCCCCTAATTAACAAACCAGTAAAGCAACACACAA